CGCAATGGACCCCAGAGTTTAAAAACCAGGCGGGAAAACACACCGACGCTTCATCAGAGGCTGCACTGAGGATGTTACCAAGCGCGGTAACGAAATGTCTGCGGAACAACAAACCAGCTTGGTGAGCCAACCAACCTCAATGTAGAGGTAGTTCTGCTGTAACGCGTGTTTTGTTACCGCGAATTGGCTGTAATGCGATTGATGAATAGTGGATGTTGTTTGGATAACACGAACTTTCTGCTGTACAGGTATAGTGACTTTTCTATAGCGATTTGCCTATTATGCGATTTTCTGTAGCACAAGGTCACACAAGAATGCAACTATTGCGTTATAGGAGAACTACCTGTACCAAGGATGAGAGACTTCCAGTTAAGACTTGTTTGGGCTGTTTGAAGAAGAGAAGTTATAGTGACATCTGGTAAATTGGATCTTCAGAGAGCCACCATAGATGGAATGTTTTGAATAAACTTCTGTGCTGTAATCATTCTATGATTCTATCTGAGAGTGGTTTAAAATCTTTTGCGGGGGGGTGGGGGGGGTGCTGTTGGGGGGAGTTACGTGGTTGGTAGGTGCCACAAAATGTCACTGCACAAGATACAAGGTCATGGTTTTGGGCTAATGTATAGGATTGACTAACTTACAGAAAATTGAAAAACTATAACTAGTTATTTGCTGAAGGGATCAGTGCTGTCTCAACGATTTGTGATCGATATTAATACACTTGGTCTCTTCATCCAAGGTATTAACAGCCAGATTTTCTGATGGTGCAAAGACAGGTGGAAGGCAAATTATAAGGACCATACATCAGCAAAGAGAAATAAACATGTTGGGTGAATGGGTAAACGTTTGGCAGATAAAAATATAACATGGGGGAGAAAATGTGAGGTTATCCACTTTGATAGGAAAAATTGAAAAGCAAAATATTATTTAGATGGAGAGAGAAGCTGTGATACAGAGGATTATGAGCATGTGAATCAAGAGATGGCCGTTCAGCCCCTCAAGCCTGCTTTACCATTTGATAAGATCATGGCTGTATCTCCACTTCCCTACTTACCCCGTTATCCTTTGAATCATTAACTAGCTCAAGCTGTACCCTAGTTTTAGTCTTTCTGACAAGGTGAATCATCCTCTCACCGCACATCTTGTATGTTTCAATAAGATCATCTTTCATTCTTCTAAACTCCTTTGGATGTAGGTCAATCTGTCTAAGCTTTCCTCATAAGATAACCCATCATTTCAGGAATCCCTCAAATGAATCTTCTCTGCATTGTTTCTAATGTAATTGTCTTCTCTCAAATATGGTGATCAAAAATGTACTGTATTCTAGATGTCTCACCAAAAAGCCTGTACTAATGTTGTGAAACATCCCTATTTTTATATTCTGTACCACTAAATGACAATATTTCATTTGCTTTCCTAATCATTTTTTGTACCTCCATTCTATCTTCTGTGATTTACATATCATGACACTCAGATCCTTCTGTGACTCGAATTCTGCAATTACTTTCCATTTAAAATATAGGCCTTTTTTGTATTCTTCCTGCTAAAGTGAACAAATTCACATACAATACTCCATTTTGCCCACGAATTTCATTATCTGTATCCCTTTTCAGATTCCTTGTATGCTGTTCATAATTTATTTGCTTGCCCATCTTTGATTCACCATGAAACTTAGCAATCATACACTCAGTCCCTTCATCTAAGTCATTGATTGTAGCTTCGAAGTTGTTGCAACCTCAGTATTGAATCGTATGGCTCTCAACTTGTAACATCATCGTTCCAACCAAAAAATTATCCGTTTATACCTACCGTGGTTTCTTTTACAGAACCAATCCTGAATCTGTGTTAATTTGTTACCCGCAGACCATTAATTCTTGTTTAGTAATCTTTGTTGTGACATCTTGTCAAATATCTTCTGGAAATTTAAGTATACCACCTCGACAGGATCCCTTTATTTTCATTGCTTGTTACATCCTCAAAGAATGCTCATAAATTAAAACCCTGTTGCATCTGTCTAATTAAATTCAGGTTTTCCAAGAGCATTGAGATTTTCTGACTCTGTACCCTGTTACTGTTTTTTCCCCATATCCTTTGATCCCTTTAGCCATTAGACTATAGTTAACTCCTTACTGAAAACATTCAATGTTTTGGCCTCCATTGCTTTCTGTGTCAGAGAATTCCACGGGCTCACTACTTTCTGGGTGAAGAAATTTCTCGGCGTCTTAGTCTCAAGTGGCCAACCCTGTATGCATACACTGTGACCCCTGCTTCTGGACATGAATCCCCTTGCTGTGAAGGCCAGCATATCATTTGCCACCTTTGCCTGCATTCTGCAGCTGCAAGCTTACTTTCAACAATTGGTGTATGAGAACATCTAGGTCTTGTTGCACCTCTCCCTTCTCCGTCTGAGTTCAGAAAATAATCTGCCTTCCTGTTATAGCTATTAAAATGGATAACCTTGTATTTATCCACATTATACTTCATCTCTCATCGTGTGGCCACTCACTTATCAATATCATACTGAAGCATTTCTGCATCCTCCTCACAGTTCAGCCTCCCACCCACTTTGTGTCATATGCAATTGTACTGAGATAATGTAACATTTAGATGATCTCTTATCTAAATCTTTAATGTACGTGGTAAATAGCTGGGGTCCAAGCACTGATCCTGTGGTACACTACAAGTTACTGGCTATCATTCAGAAAAAGATCTGTTTATTCCAACTGTGCTTCCTGTCTGCTAACCAGTTCTCTATCCATGCCAGTACACTACCCCGATTCCCATGCATTTTAATTTTGAGTATTAATCTGTTATGTGGGACTTTACAGAAAGCCTTCTGGACGTCAAAGTTAGCCACATCCACTGGCTTCCCCTTATCAACTGTACTAGTTACATCCCCAAAATTCCAGCAGGTCAAACATGATTTCACGTTCATAAATCCATGCTGACTCTGTCCGATCCTGTCACTGTTTCCAACTGCTCTGCTATTAAATCTTTTGCAATGGATTCTTAACATTGTCCCTACTACTGATGTCAGACTAACTGATCTCTAATTCCCTATTTTCTCTGTACCCATTTCTTTAAATTGTGGGGTTATATTAGTTACCCTCTAGGACCTTCCAGTGATAATTTTCCGATATTTTATATTTTGAAGGAAAAAAAGAATTAACATTTCGGGTCTGGTTTTTTTCTTCACAGATGCTGCCAGACCTACTGAGCTTTTCCAGCAACTTTGTTTTTGTTCCTGATTTACAGCATCCGCAGTTCTTTGGGTTTTTATAAGGATAGGGAAGTCTAGGTACACCTAGACAGGATATTGGTGAAACCATAATAATAAAATAAAGAACCACAGATGCTGAAGATCTGAAACCAAAACAAAAATTGCTGGAGAAACTCGGCAGGCCTGGCAGCATCATCTGGAGTTAATGTTTTGAGTCTGAGGAGTAATTGGACTCAAAGCGTTAACTGTGCTTTCTTCTCACAGATGCTGCCAGACCTGCTAAGTTACTGCAGCGATTTCTGTTTTTGTTAGTAATACCATACCTGGAGTACTCAATACAGTATTTGGTCTCCTCGCATTGGTGACTGTTCTGAGAAAGTTCATTAGGTTGATTCCTAGGACAAAAGGGTTATAGTAACAGGAAAGGTTGAACAGGTTTGGGCCCTTTTTGGAGTTTGGAAGAATGAGTAAGCTTCCTAAAATGTATAAAATTCTGGCGAGGCTTGCTGTAGATGTTCGGAGAAGCTGAAGAAGTTGGATATTGATTTGAAAATAAAAATTTGCAGTATTTTAGAAAAAGATCTGGGCAGTGGGAATAATTGGATATTCTTTCAAAGTTGGCAGTCATAGTGGACCAAGTGGCTGTCTCCTGTATATGATTCAGTGAGTGACTTGTGTGAACAATCATCTGTATGGTTATCCATGAATTTTTAATTATTTTATTGGAATATTTTGAGCTTAAAGCTGATTCTTTGTAACAATACATTTCCATTGGGTAGTGAAATCCAAAATTTAATATATTCTTTTTTTAATCAAAGGATATGTACTTCAGATACATTTGGAATAATTTTCTTCATGTACAAGTAGAAATTTGCATTGCAACAATCTTGGGAAGCCCTCCACCTCATGATACTCACACAGAAAACAACGTAGAGGATAATTCCAATGCTGCCAGAGAAAATATATTAATAAAACATGTAAGAGCCTTTACCTTTTATAATTCTGTATTGCATTGTTGATGTTAGCTTGTGAATGTTGCTGGTGAGCGTTCACATGCTGGTATGTGTTTTTCCTGACTTGATTGAGATTATCGTAAAGCAACTTGTTATTGTTGTACTGAAAAATTGTGTAATATTTGAACTACCTTGAACAAGCTTGGTCAGTGTTTTATTGTTAATTCATTTATATCCATTGCTTTAAAATACGAATAAATTGCAGTCTCCCTTTTTTTGTTTATTCAGTATTTGTTTAAAATTTTTATTGTGAAATCCCATTAAATGCAACAAAGAAAGTTTCAGCCCTCTGAGCTCATGCAATTTTTCTGTTTTAAGTCTCATCTTCACCTCATCTTCAGTAGTTCTTCAACGCATTTCTGTAGTGACAGAGTTGTGCACTGTTCCTATCTTTTATTTTATTGCTCAGGCCTCTTGTATGAACCACTCACTATTCTTGTGTTATTCCCTATGCTTTAGCCACTCTTGGATTGCCCTGCCACTCTGTCTGAAGTTTTTAGTTATTTGTTCCTCATATTAAACGTAACTTTGCAATGTTTTTAAAACTCTTTCCTTGTCATCAATTTGTGGAATTGCCTGAATTAAAACTTTGCCTTTTAAATGAATGTTTTTTACAGAGTAGAGGATTTGTCTTTTGTAACTGAACATTTTTAGGTGGTTTTGAACAGTATACCCTTGGGATTCTGCATTAAAACCAAAAATTCTCTTTTAGAATACAAAGGTGGGAGTGTATTTTTAGGTGTTATTAATAAAGTCATGGTTTACTGTTTGCAAAATAACACCTTCGTTAAAACTTCCTTGAGAATTTTGAAACAATGGTTTTTATGCTAAAACTGTTTTGATTTTTGGTTTAGTTGCTTGTTTATAATCTGCTTTCAGTAGACCTCCATATTTGATGCTTTATGACAGTTGAGTCTGATTTGGCACACCTGATCTATTGTCCCACACTCTGTAAAGCAATGAAAAAATATTTTTGGTTTTAATCACTGTGTATATTAATTCAGTTTTTCATTATCCAGCTGTTTACGAAGTGCCGATTAATTCAGAGAATACTCGATGCATGGGAGAACAATGAAAAGGAACAGTAAGTAGACAACTTGTTTTAGTTACTAAACTGTCTCAAATGTATTTTGAGCTAAAATCAACAGTAATTTTTAAAAATTATAACCATGTTGTATAGGGATTAGGCAGTATGAGTGGGGCCTGGAATTTTTGGTGACTTACTCTGTTTTGGGGCTGGAGTTTGAATCTAACACCAACTGATGAATAAAGCTTTCTGTTTAAAGCGAAGATTCTCCCAAAAACAGTCTGGCAAATCTCAAACAACTCTCATTAAGTTCATTAATGGTGCAAATTAACAGTCTTCTTGAGAGTCCTTTGGAATGCTTGAAATGAAAAATCAGTGGCAGGAAAGGATATGTTCATAGTATATTGCAAAACATGTTGGGGTATAGTAAAAGGAGATGGTCAACATTTTGATTATATTATTGTAAAGATGTCCAATTCCGTAGACATTTTTTTTGAAGAGTGTCACCTTTAGTTAGGGAAATTTTGTTAAATAGAAGATTAATGAGAACACCTAGTGTGAAGCTGGTAAACAGATCTGAAGCAACTACCATTCAAAGAGTAGTCCATGTTTATTTATTAATTCATTCATGAGATGTGACCATCGCCGACTGGGCCAACGTTTTATTGTCCATTCCTAATTGCATAAGATGCAGTTAGGGGTCAGTCACATTGCATGTGTCTGGAGTCCCACATAGGCCAGACCAGGAAAGGATATCAGATTTCTACCCCTAAAAGACAGTAATGAACCAAATTGGTCACCATTTAAACTCTTAATTCCAGATTTTTATTGAATTCAAATTCCAACATCTGCCATGGTAGGATACGAACTCATGGCCTCAGAATATTACCTAGTGTGCTGGATTAATAGTCTCGCAATAATACTGTCAGTTTATCATTGCCCTGCATATCATTTGTTAAGGTTCAAGTTGAAAATAGGAAAATAATAAACAATGTGATCTTCTCTTGTCTTTGTAATGGAGACACCAAGTCTGATAAGATTGCTGTTGCCTTTTTAGGGATATGGATTCTTCATATGAGTCCCAGAATCAAAGAAAGGTTTGGAAGTTAAAGATAATTGTTCAAAGTCTGTGTCTAGGACACCACAGCGGTACCATGTTCCTGCAGGGAGATGTGTTTTTCGTTTTGGGTTTACCAATAATATCTCACAGGAAACAGGCAGTATTGTTGGAGCCCTGGAAGCAGCTTGGAAGAACACAATGTGTGCTTGCTGGCCCAATATTAGGGGGCTATCAGAGACCAAGGGTGTTTCCTGATTTGGAATCGTAGAATAGAATAGATCATAGAATCCCTACAGTGTGAATACAGGCCCTTCGGTCCAACAAGTCCACACTGACCCTCACAACATCTTACCCAGACCCATCCTCCATAACCCACCTAATCTACACATCCCTGAACACAATGGGCAATTTAGCATGGCCAGTCCACCAAGCCTGCACACTTTTGGACTGTGGGAGGAAACCGGAGCACCAGAAGGAAACCCACACAGACACGGGGAGAACGTGCAAACTCCACACAAACAGTCGCCCAAGGGTGGAATCGAACCCGGGTCCTTGGCGCTGTGAGGCTGCAGTGCTAGCCACTGCGCCACCGTGCTGCCCCCTAAGTTGACGAAATCAACTGTCGCCAGGCAAAAGCAAGCTCAACATTCAGCAGACTCACCCACAGAAATCATGGAATTGGTTTTAAAACAAATATCAAAATTTACCAGGCAGCAGTCATCACAACACTTCTTTATGAGGGATGGTCAACCCACTATCATGTCACAAAGCAAGTTCTGAAGGATCACTGGTCTCGAATCGTTAACTCATTAATCAAAGCATTGAGATCTATGATTAAGTTAAGGTGTCCTTAGTCTTGAGATTCTTAGGTTGGAGAATTGCCTACCCCATTAGAAGTACTGCAAGAAATCTCATACCGAGTAGAATAGCAGGGACGTTTAGCAGAATCAAGTGAATTCCTGAGAGGTCTGGCACATCTTGTTTTGGTTGCAGGAAGAATGAAAGAACTCCAAGATCCTGAAAATATAAGGGAACTTCTCAGAGGGTGTGGGGAGAAACCAGAACAAAATGGAAAGTGTCTTGTTGGGATTTCCAGGTTTACGAAATAGTGTTAACTCAGTAGTATGTCCTTGTATTCTTGTGCAGTTCAAGTTTTAGTTTAATAGTGAATAATTTTTGTGACATAATTCTTGCAGTTACTAACTAGGTACTCAAGCTTCTTTTCCAAAGTAATTGGTCTCCCTCAAGGTCACTACAATGCGCCTTACATGGGAGTTGCAAGAAAACGTTACCTTTCTGCATTGACAACATTCACCTGAGAATACTGACAGTACTAAAACGTGTTCAAGATAATGGCTTTTTATTGCTGTCAAAATATGCATAAAGTTTGGTGTCATTCGTATTGACCCATGGAGTTTCAATTCTTTGTAAACGAAAGACATGTAAAGTGAGTTGCTTTTATGATACATTTATGAAAATATGCAATCATACAAATGAGCCTGCTACTCTTCGTGATAAAGTAACAAGTTAACTTTTAGCTAAATTATTCAATTATGAAATTTGTTTGATATTTTAACCAGTATTAAATGGGGGAGTGGGAAGCACTCAAGACAGTTCCAGGTGCAGCTGCCCAAAAATCATTGTGCTGGACAGGGATCTCAATCATATCAAACCCTTTTCTTATGCTTCTACCTTTACCCTTCTCCACCATTCTAGAATTGTGATAGGGAACCTCCTGCTCTCACTTTACACCCCTCCCCTCCATCCTTCATATTCAATGTATCATCTTCTGCTGTTTTCTGCCACCTTCACCTTGATACCACCCCAATTGCATTTCCCCTCCCTTGCCAGCATTCCGACCTGACTATTCGCTCTGCTACACTTTGGCCCACTCCTGTATCACCCAGATACTTCACCGCCTCTCACACAGACTTCTGGGGTAAAAACAGGTGGTGTATTACCTCTTTCCTCGCTATCCAAAATTGCAAGCACTTCTCCTTCCAAATGAATCAGTTTACTTGTACTACTTTCAATTTTGTCTACAGTATTTGCTGCTCACAGAACATTCTCCTCTACCTTGGGGAGTCGTAATATAGATTGAGGAACACTTCCATGCAGTCCACAAACACGACCCTGATCTTCCAGTCACTTATCATTTTAATACAGCACCTTGCTTTCACAGTCACATTTCTAACCAAGGACTACTGCATTGTTCCAATGAAGCCCAAAGCAAGCTGGAAGAATAGCAGCTCATTTACTGCTTTTCTGGATTCAACATTGAGTTCAGCAACTTTATTTCATAAACTCTGTTATCCATTTTGCTCCTCCTCATCCTTTTTCTTGCTTTCACAGTTTGGCTTTCAGCAGAGCTGACCAATGATCTGCAATTAACACTTACTCTGCACCTATGTCATTTCTCTACAAACATTGCCACCCCCTTTGCCTTTTATTCTGTGACACTTTTGATCTCTGATCTTCTAATTGTCCTTTCTGATATGTGATTTTCTCCACCTTTTTACACAGTATTAAACCCTTTGTTTTCCCATCTTTCTTCAATTACAAAGACTACATATTGGACTCTCTTAACTCTGTTTTTCTGTCCACAAGTGCTGCCAGACTGGCTGAGTTTCTCCAGCACTGTTTTTATTTCAGTTCTCCAGCATCCACTGTATTTTGAATCAGAGATAGTAGGAACTGCAGATGCTGGTGAATCCGAGACAACAAG